GGTACCTGGGAGTTAAGACACCTGCTATGGGCTACTTCCTGGGGATGTGTGAAAGAGAAATATATGCAGTAGACATAATAGTGGAACAATAGATTGGTTAGAAAGGCGGGGTCCAAGAGCTAATAGCTCCATTCTGCAGATACAAATAGTAAATACACACACGAGCAAGTGATGGAAATGGGATGGAAATGGATGGTAAAGTGATGGAAGTGGGAAGAGGTGAGAGACCAAAGGGAGAGAACACAGGGAAGGGGAATTACGTCTTTGTAACGTCTGGAGAAAAAGACCTGGGAGTGGACACCAAAGGTAACTCCGGAGGCACATATAAACACCACAACGTCAGCAACATACTCTACACCAGTTAGAACATCATTCAGGAAGCTAAATAAGGAGGCATTTAGATAGCTGTCCACCACCTTCGTCAGACCACCCTTAGAGAATGACGCCCCATCGTGGAGCACCTAATAAAACACACAAAAAAACTTGAAAAGCTTGAGAAGCTTGCGACGAGGTTCGTCTCAGAATTGCGAGAGATGGGATATAAAGAGAGACTTGAAAGAACTAAACCTTACGACGCTAGAAAAAAAGGAGAGAAGAGACATGATACTGACGTATAAAATACTTAGAGAGATTGACAGAGTGGATATAGAGACAATGTTGACAATGAATAACAAGATGGGAGGCTGATACCCACACTGGAGCGTGTCCAGTTCACTCTGCAGGTCCCCTCAGCCCTACCACGGGAGACATCTCCCGTCGCAGGGTACAGTCGCACCTCCACAGATCTCCAGTATCATCTCTTGATACTGGTAATGGCTCAAAAGGGCCACCACTTACGAGCTATTCATGCCCGTGCCACCTTTTGGGTGGCTTAACCTTCATCAATCAATCGATCAGCCCTACCTACCCAGCTCTCACTCTCCGCATTTACCTCCACATCCACAGCAGACATTGTTATGAAGACTATTTCCTCTCTCAGAGCGTTGAGGTGTATTAAGAACTGGCAGCCCTAGCACCGACCCATACGGTACTCCACCCGTTACCTCTCTCCACTCTCATATCTCACTCTGAAGCTCTGTTACCTTCCTGTGTGGTACTACCTTACCCAAGACAATATTCACCTGTATTGTCCTGAGGGGGGTCGGGGAGACTTGCTGCATGGGTGACAGCTTCTCCCTCGTATCAACCTACCCTGGCTTTGCGCCCTGGAGAGACCACTCCAGACCGACAACCAGAGCACAACTCCATAGTCTCCTGAGACTGATGGATGTCTACCACTACTACTCGCATACCTCAGCCTCTTGATCTTTAGTGAGAGCATCTTATACGATTCCGTGACGAGTGCTTACCGGCATTCAGTGTATCTTCTTGAGGTTATCTTGAGATGATTTCGGGGCTTTTTAGTGTCCCCGCGGCCCGGTCCTCGACCAGGCCTCCACCCGTAACGTGTAGACGTAACTTGGTGTGCGGTCCACCCCAAGGTTTTGTTTCTCTAAATATAACAACTGTCTCTCTCTTTTAGGTTATACTGTTCCTCATATCTCATTTCCACGCCCCCAGTTCCCATCGCCATGCAGTGGTTAGAGTTAATGTCAAGTAGCCACATATTTGGCTACTCCTGCAACTTGCTCAAATTATTATGTTGCGTTCTGCAGTCATCCTCTCCCTTAATTCTTGGTGTTAGTTACGCATCATTAGCTACGGATCATCAAGAAATAACCCGTGAGCGTATGGCGACGTGTGCACACTCGCTGTAGACACAGGAAAGCACACGCACATGCTTATGAATGTATGAATGTGTACATGCAGGCTCACACACACACACACACACACACACACACACACACACACACACACACACACACACACACACACACATTGTCTGGGGTTTTAACCTTCCAGCGGCTACAATTAGAACGCAAGAGGTTTTTACGAGCGCACGCTGGGCGGTGAACCGTGACCCGGGTGGCTGCTGGTGTCTCTGCTGCCGTGTCCTTCCCTGCCACTCTGCCACGGAGTCGAGCCTCACCGCACTCCTGCACCCGCAGGCCCGTCTCTCCCGACGCCGAAAGTACCGAGCCCGACGCGCCGAAGGTTTGACAATCAAGCGGAAGGAGGAGACACGGGGAGCCGCTGCGCCACTGACGGAGGCGCTACTCCAGGGAAGGCAAGTCCTGCCTCACAGCTGTATTAGAATGTAATGACCAAGCGCAAAAATTAAGAAAGATAACGGTGGGCAGACTGCATTTTCTTGGACTGTCGGAAAGCCTTGACACAGTACCCTGTAAGAGGCTGGTACGTAAGTTAAAAAAAAAAACCAGGCCGGGGTAACAGGTGCTGCAGTGGATAAGGGAGTACCTAAGCAACAGAAGAGAGCGAGTTACTGTGAGAGGTCGAACTCAGAATAGCGAGATGTCCCTAGTCGAGGTCCGCAGCCTGATGAACCCGACCAGTCCTGTTTCTGATATACGCAAAAGATCTTCCAGAGGGAATACAGTCGTTTCTCTTAGTGTTTGAAGATGATGCCTAAATTATGAGAAGGATTAAGATAGCAAGAGACTATAAGACGACCTGGGCGAACTGAAGGAGTGGCCCACATGGCTATTAGAGTTCAACTCCAGCAAGTGTAAAGTAATGCAAATAGGCGTAGGGAGCAGGAGGCCCGCAAAGGCTGGTGAACGGGTGGAGGAGGCCCGCTAAGGCTGGTGAACGGGTGGAGGAGGCCCGCTGGGGCCGGGTACTCGGCGGCTCACCGGGTATGACCAACACCATAAAACAAGCAGTTTCTAATTTTTTCATCATCTTGTAAATGAGGTCGACAGTCCCAGGTGTGTCTGACATCATGCCAGGTGTGTCTGGTGTTTACTACAGCATGCCAGGTGTGTCTGGTGTTTACTACATCATGTCAGGTGTGTCTGGTGTTTACTACAGCATGCCAGGTGTGTCTGGTGTTTACTACAACATGCCAGGTGTGTCTGGTGTTTACTACAACATGCCAGGTGTGTCTGGTGTTTACTACAACATGCCAGGTGTGTCTGGTGTTTACTACAACATGCCAGGTGTGTCTGGTGTTTACTACAACATGCCAGATGTGTCTGGTGTTTACTACAACATGCCAGGTGTGTCTGGTGTTTACTACAACATGCCAGGTGTGTCTGGTGTTTACTACAACATGCCAGGTGTGTCTGGTGTTTACTACAACATGCCAGGTGTGTCTGGTGTTTACTACAACATGCCAGATGTGTCTGGTGTTTACTACAACATGCCAGGTGTGTCTGGTGTTTACTACAACATGCCAGGTGTGTCTGGTGTTTACTACAACATGCCAGGTGTGTCTGGTGTTTACTACAACATGCCAGGTGTGTCTGGTGTTTACTACAACATGCCAGGTGTGTCTGGTGTTTACTACAACATGCCAGGTGTGTCTGGTGTTTACTACAACATGCCAGGTGTGTCTGGTGTTTACTACAACATGCCAGGTGTGTCTGGTGTTTACTACAACATGCCAGGTGTGTCTGGTGTTTACTACAACATGCCAGGTGTGTCTGGTGTTTACTACAACATGCCAGGTGTGTCTGGTGTTTACTACAACATGCCAGGTGTGTCTGGTGTTTACTACATCATGCCAGGTGTGTCTAGTGTTTACTACAACATGCCAGGTGTGTCTGGTGTTTACTACATCATGCCAGGTGTGTCTAGTGTTTACTACAACATGCCAGGTGTGTCTGATGTACCTGGTACCTGGCATGTTCTACAACATGCCAGGTACCTAGTGTTATGTGAAGAGTTCCCAGGACAAACGTGAACAACAGGTGGTCGAGGAGTAACAAGGTGCCGGTAACAGAGCTCCAGATACCAACGGGATCATTAGACAACTTGGGAGCTGACTCTTGACAACCTTAGGACGGGCGGGCAGCGGTGTCCCTCGTGGCAGCGGCTGACTGATACACACACTCCACGTCTACCACTGTGGTGAGAGCTGCGGGTGAGTGTGTATGGGTAATATGGACTGGTGGCTGAGTGTATGTCATGTGGTAAGTGCTTCACGGGGCGCGATATCACCCATAGAGATACTTTACACGCCAAGATTTTGGCTCCGCTTGGAGGTGGAGACCTGCCCCGGCCTCCTACCTAGTACCCCTCCAGTACCTCCTTCGCTTTTGTCCAAGTAGTACCCGGGTGGTACTCTTATCGAGTACCACCCATATTAAAGTCTCGTTGTGTACCCATGTACATTTTCCTGGGCATTTTGTAAGTGGTAATCATGTCTCACCTGTTTCTTCTATCTTGCAGTGGCGTGAGATTTAATCCCTTTAGTGTGAACATCATGCCAGAGCCAAGGTCCACTCTCCACTTCGCTGCTGCTTTACAAAAATGAATCACGTACACAACAAAATTAAAAAAATAAAAAAATATCCATTTTACTTCCTTATAAGTATTTAAATAAAAAGTCTTGGAAGATGCAGACCTCTCGCAAAAGCAGTTGAGTGAAACGAAGTGAGGTGCACGTAATTTTGCACCGCTTAAGACCAGTAAAAGTGTAAATCAAATCCCACAATAAGTGTAATAGTATGCCAGCAAGATTAAGACAAGACGCGTGACTGGCGCAACAACATTCATGAGATGGACCAAAAAGGTGCGAGAGTTTATGTAAATTACGCATTGTGCGGAGCTGTCTGCGTCCATCAGCACGGCAGACAATAACAGCCCGCTGGTTATCAGGTCATCCAGGGTAAGTGACTGCACGCCACACACGCCTCCTCCCCCTCACCATTACCATAATTACAAACACCCTCAAATATCTTTTATGGATATATATGAGTATTCTCCAACAGATGCAATGGGTAGTGATGCGAGAGCCAAGTGGAGAGAGATTAAGTCCCTTCGTCTAAGTCCCCCGGTGTAAATTCCTTGCTGTAAATCCCTTCCTCTAACCCTTACACTAATCACTTGAAATTCACTGACAGAAAAAATAAGGACACATGAGAAATAATAAAACATTAAGAGAATATAAATAATTCCTGGACATTTTGTCTTGGTGTTAGAGAAATGTTTAAAGTAACATTGCTGAATATGGCAGCGATGACTTTTACCTCCGACACTGAAACATTCCTCACAAATACTTACAGCTCCACTTCTCACACGGCCACACCTATTGGTTTTGTCTAGTGTCACCGTGGCTTCCTTGCAACCACAACGCTTGGACATTTGTTGCAACGATCAATTGTGTCAGACGTTTCAAACTTGGCTACCATTGATGTTATGTGTCAAAGGTTGCAAGGATGACTACCATTGATGTCAAAGGTTGCAAGGATGGCTACCATTGATGTCAAAGGTTGCAAGGATGGCTACCATTGATGTCAAAGGTTGCAAGGATGACTACCATTGATGTCAAAGGTTGCAAGGATGGCTACCATTGATGTCAAAGGTTGCAAGGATGACTACCATTGATGTCAAAGGTTGCAAGGATGGCTACCATTGATGTCAAAGGTTGCAAGGATGACTACCATTGATGTCAAAGGTTGCAAGGATGGCTACCATTGATGTCAAAGGTTGCAAGGATGGCTACCATTGATGTCAAAGGTTGCAAGGATGACTGCCACTGATGTCAAAGGTTGCAAGGATGACTACCATTGATGTCAAAGGTTGCAAGGATGACTACCACTGATGTCAAAGGTTGCAAGGATGGCTACCATTGATGTCAAAGGTTGCAAGGATGGCTACCATTGATGTCAAAGGTTGCAAGGATGGCTACCATTGATGTCAAAGGTTGCAAGGATGACTACCATTGATGTCAAAGGTTGCAAGGATGGCTACCATTGATGTCAAAGGTTGCAAGGATGACTACCATTGATGTCAAAGGTTGCAAGGATGGCTACCATTGATGTCAAAGGTTGCAAGGATGGCTACCATTGATGTCAAAGGTTGCAAGGATGACTGCCACTGATGTCAAAGGTTGCAAGGATGACTACCATTGATGTCAAAGGTTGCAAGGATGGCTACCATTGATGTCAAAGGTTGCAAGGATGGCTACCATTGATGTCAAAGGTTGCAAGGATGACTACCATTGATGTCAAAGGTTGCAAGGATGACTACCATTGATGTCAAAGGTTGCAAGGATGGCTACCATTGATGTCAAAGGTTGCAAGGATGACTGCCACTGATGTCACGTGTCAGACGTTGCAAGGATGACTACCATTGATGTCATGTGTCAAACGTTGCAAGGATGGCTACCATTGATGTCAAAGGTTACAAGGATGGCTACCATTGATGTCACGTGTCAAACATTTACATCCATTGTAGAAAGCCTTTATAGACCGTCCGGCCTGAAAGGCTTGTGAAGTGTGATAATGCGTAATGAGTGAGGTGTGATGAATGAAGTGTGTGCAAGTGGCTGGGTCATGTCATGAGGGGTGGGTGTATGAGTACCGGTGAGTGAGGGGGTGGGTGTATGAGTACCGGTGAGTGAGGGGGGTGGGGGTGTATGAGTACCGGTGAGTGAGGGGGGGTGGGGGTGTATGAGTACCGGTGAGTGAGGGGGTGGGTGTATGAGTACCGGTGAGTGAGGAGGGGGGGGTGTATGAGTACCGGTGAGTGAGGGGGGTGGGGGTGTATGAGTACCGGTGAGTGAGGGGGGGTGGGGGTGTATGAGTACCGGTGAGTACCGGAATGAGGGGGGTGTGTGAGGGGGTGTAAGGAGGAAGTACTACAAAAGACCATGGTGGTGAAGACATACTGTTGTACTCACGCGTGCCGTTGAGGTTACGTGAGAGGATCTTGTTCCCGTGTGAGACGTAACCTAGCAGAGGGTGATGTAGCGGCGGCTGCTGCTGCTGCTGCTGCTGCTGCTGTTGCTGCTGCTGCTGCTGAGGGTTTGAGGGTCCAGGGACGGGCATAGCGGGGGTGACAGAGCCCACAGAGACGCCTCCACCTACTGAGACAGATGTGGATGACGGGGGAACTATGCCGCCCGAGGCAGGCCCCACCACAGACGGGATAATCGAGAGAGGAACTCCACTAGCAGAACCTCCGGAGCCCGAACGGTCAGACGAGACGGACACTGGCGGCGCGGGTGTGGGCGTGGAGGGTGGCGCGGGCGTATTGGGCGCCGAGTGGGTGGCGGCAGACGCGGGCGGGTATTGGGTCTCGCTCAGGCCTGACATGTGTGGGCGTAAGTGGCTGTCAGGGAGCTGTGGGTGGGGCGGGTGGTGGTGCTGCTGCTGCTGCTGGTGGTGGTGGTGGGCGGGCTCGGCTTTGATGGGCACTAGTGTGTTGGGGTAGACGGCACACCTGTTGCTCTCAGATGTGGGCGGCACCACAGGCTCAGCTGTGTGGGCGGAGCGCGAGGTGGGTGGCACGAGCAGCATGGATGGCCGGTGGGGTCACATGGTGGGCGGGAGTAAATATGGGCGGCAGGGAAGGCACACCAGCCAGGTGGGCGGCCCCGACCAGCTGAGGACGAGTCACCCCAGCACCAACACCTGCAACACAAGGAAACATACGTCAACAACACCAACACAACACATTAATATCAACACAAGAGGCCAGCAACACCATCACTAACATCAACAACTACACGACTCTCCACAAAGGAGAGTGTTGCGCCTCAGTACTGTTACAGAAGACAGTAGCAACACTGTACTTGTGTACTACTTTAGCCACGTGTCGTCATCTTATCCCCAAGCCTGAAACAGTACCACAGTAGCAGCAACAAAGAGCGAGAAAAGAAGTAGAAGAAGGTCTATGATCTGTAATACCATTGGTTATAATAGTTAAGATAATCACTAGGAGAACTGCTCGCGGTGAAGGAACTGCGCCCAACCACACGCTTCCCTGGGGATCGAACCTGGAAAAAGCGAGGCCTCCGCTAAGGAAAATAAATATAAAACACTTGGTGATTTATAGATGGTGTGGAGGACCTGTGTGAGGTCACTATGACGTCACAGTGCTCATGCTGGCACAGGTGTCAGATCCCAGTGCTCAGTGCTCACCTTGTGCACGCGTCTCACACAGTCTTGTCATGACGCCCTATTATGCCACAAAGCATTAATACCAGAGAATCAGTTAATGAATGATACGAGTTATGGAATGATATCTTTGGCGCCGCAACGACGAGGTCTCTGGCGCCCCAACATCGAGGTCTCTGACGCCCCAACATCGAGGTCTCTGGCGCCGCAACATCGAGGTCTCTGACGCCGCAACATTGAGGTCTCTGACGCCGCAACATCGAGGTCTCTGGCGCCCCAACATCGAGGTCTCTGGCGCCGCAACATCGAGGTCTCTGGCGCCCCAACATCGAGGTCTCTGGCGCCCCAACATCGAGGTCTCTGGCGCCGCAACATCGAGGTCTCTGGCGCCCCAACATCGAGGTCTCTGGCGCCCCAACATTGAGGTCTCTGGCGCCGCAACATTGAGGTCTCTGGCGCCGCAACATTGAGGTCTCTGGCGCCGCAACATTGAGGTCTCTGGCGCCGCAACATTGAGGTCTCTGGCGCCCCAACATTGAGGTCTCTGGCGCCGCAACATTGAGGTCTCTGGCGCCGCAACATTGAGGTCTCTGGCGCCGCAACATTGAGGTCTCTGGCGCCCCAACATTGAGGTCTCTGGCGCCGCAACATCGAGGTCTCTGGCGCCCCAACATCGAGGTCTCTGGCGCCGCAACATTGAGGTCTCTGGCGCCGCAACATTGAGGTCTCTGGCGCCGCAACATTGAGGTCTCTGGCGCCGCAACATTGAGGTCTCTGGCGCCCCAACATTGAGGTCTCTGGCGCCGCAACATCGAGGTCTCTGGCGCCGCAACAACGAGGTCTCTGGCGCCGCAACATTGAGGTCTCTGGCGCCGCAACATTGAGGTCTCTGGCGCCGCAACATTGAGGTCTCTGGCGCCGCAACATTGAGGTCTCTGGCGCCCCAACATTGAGGTCTCTGGCGCCGCAACATTGAGGTCTCTGGCGCCCCAACATCGAGGTCTCTGGCGCCCCAACATCGAGGTCTCTGGCGCCGCAACATTGAGGTCTCTGGCGCCGCAACATCGAGGTCTCTGGCGCCCCAACATTGAGGTCTCTGGCGCCGCAACATCGAGGTCTCTGGCGCCGCAACATCGAGGTCTCTGGCGCCCCAACATTGAGGTCTCTGGCGCCCCAACATTGAGGTCTCTGGCGCCCCAACATTGAGGTCTCTGGCGCCCCAACATCGAGGTCTCTGGCGCCCCAACATCGAGGTCTCTGGCGCCCCAACATCGAGGTCTCTGGCGCCGCAACATTGAGGTCTCTGGCGCCGCAACATCGAGGTCTCTGGCGCCCCAACATTGAGGTTTCTGGCGCCGCAACATCGAGGTCTCTGGCGCCCCAACATTGAGGTCTCTGGCGCCGCAACATTGAGGTCTCTGGCGCCGCAACATTGAGGTCTCTGGCGCCGCAACATTGAGGTCTCTGGCGCCCCAACATTGAGGTCTCTGGCGCCCCAACATCGAGGTCTCTGGCGCCGCAACATCGAGGTCTCTGGCGCCCCAACATTGAGGTCTCTGGCGCCGCAACATTGAGGTCTCTGGCGCCGCAACATTGAGGTCTCTGGCGCCGCAACATTGAGGTCTCTGGCGCCCCAACATTGAGGTCTCTGGCGCCCCAACATCGAGGTCTCTGGCGCCGCAACATTGAGGTTTCTGGCGCCGCAACATTGAGGTCTCTGGCGCCCCAACATCGAGGTCTCTGGCGCCCCAACATCGAGGTCTCTGGCGCCGCAACATCGAGGTCTCTGGCGCCCCAACATCGAGGTCTCTGGCGCCCCAACATCGAGGTCTCTGGCGCCGCAACAACGAGGTCTCTGGCGCCGCAACAACGAGGTCTCTGGCGTATTAACAGATGTCACTGGCGTTACTCAAACTCAACATTCATCTAATATTTACGGTACGTCTACACTCATTTCTACGTGACTGTTGAAGAAGAAGAGCCGAGCCCCAGCTGACAGAGAGACATGCATGCCATCACAGCCACAGAGATCATCCCTAGACAATCCTCTGGCCAAAAGTGTGCCTAATATTCTCAGGTGTGCTGTCATCTGGCCAACTGAAAGGCTTCAAAGGCAACAATCGACTACACTCCGAGGTCATCAGAGTGCTCAATCCCCCCTCCACCGCGTCAAGGAGGTGGTGAAAGGTGAGAGATTTATATGTGCACACACACACACACACGGAAAATGCACCTTACGACACTGGAAGACAGAAGACTGAGGGGAGACATGATCACTACCTACAAAATCCTCAGGGGAATTGACAGGGTAGACAAGGATAAACTATTCAACACTGGTGGTACGCGAACAAGGGGACACAGGTGGAAGCTGAGTACCCACATGAGCCACAGAGACGTTAGAAAGAACTTTTTTCAGTGTCAGAGTAGTTAACGGATGGAATGCATTAGGCAGTGATGTGATGGAGGCTGACTCTATACACAGTTTCAAATGTAGATATGATAGAGCCCAGTAGGCTCAGGAACCTGTACACCAGTTGACTGGCGGTTGAGAGGCGGGACCAAAGAGCCAAAGGTCAACCCCCGCAAGGACAACTAGGTGAGTATAACTAGGTGAGTACAAACACCTGCAACATTCATTAACTCGCATTCATCCAAACACCGTGGCTTCCCTGATCAACCAGGCTGTGACTCATACGTCAGGCTGCGAGCAGCCGCGTCCAACAGCAGAACAGAACAGTCCAACAGTCCAGCAACCAGGAGGCCTGGTCGACGACCGGGCCGCGGGGACGCTAAGCCCCGGAAGCACCTCAAGGTAACCTCAAGGTAAGGTAACCTCCCTCACAACACCCACCACTTTCACCAAGAGAGCAGGCCGGCCCTAAACACAAGGGCTGAACAATAATTAACCTGCTGCTACTATTCATCTACTTTACTTATCTTGAGATAAGCGGACAAGAGATTAAATGAAGATTAAATTTCAGTCTTGAGAAGAACAGTAGTACCAGAGGAAAGATATACAAATTTACTCAACAAAAGATTTCAGGAGAATATAGTGCATCATCAATGCTAAACAAAAGACCATAATTACTCAGCAAAATTAACTCAAAATCATCAATAAAATGTTAAATTTTTTATATAAATCAATAGCCACTAAAAGGACTAAGACAATTAAACTTAGGTAAAAATATATAAATAGTAGAATGCAACAAAAATACACACACAGTAAACAATTTATCGTAAAAAAACCTAAAAACATACTTCGAGAAGAAAATTAGTGTATAAACAGTCAAGTTGAAGAGTTGGGCGTCCTCAACTCTACTGTTTCAGCTTCCCATGAAGTTTCCCCTCGTTCTGATATTCTTAACTATAAACAATGCTTCGTCGTTTACTTTGTCAATTCCCCTTATAATCTTCTACGTCGTTATCATGTCTCCTCTATTCCTCCTCTCCTCCAAGATTTTCATCCACACATAAATATACAGAGAAGCAACCTTGATAACGCACCAACAATTTTATGACTAATCACCGCCGCAAAAAAGGTTAGGCAGTGTTGAAATATACCCCCCCCCACCCTATACCCCCCACCACTTTATACCCCCCCCCCACCACCCTATACCCCCCCCACCACCCTATACCCCCCCCCCACCACCCTATACCCCCCCGCCCACCACCCTATACCCCCCCCCCCCTCCCTATACCCCCCCACCACCCTATACCCCCCCCACCACCCTATACCCCCCCCACCACCCTATACCCCCCCCCCCCCACCACCCTATACCCCCCGCCCACCACCCCAAAAATGTCCTGAAATGTTTTATAGTGTAACACAGACGGAGAAAAGGCCATACTAAAAAATGTTTTTGGGGCTTAAAAATGCCTCAGGAGAATGTCAGTGTAAAAAGATTTCCGTGGTAAAAATTTTGGCCTCGGGAAAAACCTTGTAAAAATGGGCAAGAGAAGAGATCGTTTGGTGGGTTATGGCGGCCCCGGGGGACACCTGCACGCTGGGGACACCTGCACGCCGGGGACACCTGCACGCTGGGGACACCTGCACGCCGGGGACACCTGCACGCTGGGGACACCTGCACGCCGGGGACACCTGCACGCTGGGGACACCCGCACGCCGGGGACACCTGCACGCCGGGGACACCTGCACGCCGGGGACACCTGCACGCCGGGGGCACCCGCACGCTGGGGACACCTGCACGCCGGGGACACCTGCACGCCGGGGACACCCGCACGCTGGGGACACCTGCACGCCGGGGACACCTGCACGCTGGGGACACCTGCACGCTGGGGACACCTGCACGCCGGGGACACCTGCACGCCGGGGACACCTGCACGCTGGGGACACCTGCACGCCGGGGACACCTGCACGCCGGGGGCACCCGCACGCTGGGGACACCTGCACGCCGGGGACACCTGCAGGCTGGGGACACCTGCACGCCGGGGGCACCTGCACGCCGGGGACACCTGCACGCTGGGGACACCTGCACGCCGGGGACACCTGCACG